CTTCCGGACTTCTGTATAAGTTCCCATTATTATTTTTTTTGTTATTTGCTCCTCCCAAAGCTTGCCTTCATCACATGAGGATGAAGTAGAATTTCATTAGGAAAGCAAGACTGGTTATTCCAGTGAACTGAAAAAAAGGTTTATTTTGCTAAAAGGGGAATGGTAGAACACTTCAGGGTATTCTAATTTGATACGTAAAGTGGTAAAAAGGAAGTATTATATTCAAAGAAGAAGACAGAGTATGAGCTTGAAATAAGGAAAAGGTATAGGAGTGATAAGAGAGGAAGCTAGTAACATGGACATTGCATACATGATTTGAAATAGCATGAAAAATAATTTCTTAAAAGTCTTCAGGGGAAAAGCAAGGACAAAATTATCTGTATTTGAGGAAATGTTTCAGAACACTTCTCATAAAGCCGAACATTTTACAAATTTTGGTTGAATGAGACTGGGTGGTCTGCTAAGAACAATAATCCGAGTGAAATTTATATTGCATCATTGATGACACACGATGGCTGTCTGATGTGGAATGCAGTGTAAGATCGGCTCTGAAATGATTTCAAAAGGGTCTGTGTCACTAATGGAACCTCGTTGAATTCTTTTGTTGTTGCTTGATGTGTTTGTTGTTTGTTTCAATTATTGTTGCAGTGTTGCCAACACTCACTATCTAATCTGTGTGCAGGCAACAGATTTTCAAAGACATGTCCATGGTGTCAACTGCCAGGAGGGATATTTTACACATTTTCTGCTTCAAATGTTGCACCACATATAGTCCCTGATTTTTCCCCCTAGGCTTCCATAGTGCTTAAATATAGGTCCCCAAGAACATGACTAGCACTGCTATAAAAGAAATATAAATTTGACATGAAAATTGCATATAAATATTTTATATTAAATTTGAAGTTTTCCTTGTGACTTGAACCCAGCATATCCCTTGCCCCACTTTCACATCTTAGGTGAGGAATCTGTGCCCGAAATTAATTTAAATTAATGACTTGCTTTTAGTATATGAAAAAGTTGTAATCATATAGCCACATAATGTATTTTATATAAAAAATACTGCTTCTTGTAGAAATTAAATAAACTAGAGTACTTGCATTTTATAAAACTGTCTGCCATATATCAAGTGCTCTCTCTACTTTGATAGCTAAATTGTATGGGAATGAAGGGAGCATATATAATAAGGCAAATTGAATTAGTAAGCATTTCTCCATGCAGATGGATCCCCACTTCTTCCCACAAATTGCATTTGTCAAGCTATCAAACTACCATTGTAAGTTGAGTGTTCGTTCTTGTTGGACAGAAATATTAATGTGCTCTCATAGACTTGTGGCATAACATAATGGTATACAGTACACTCAGAAACAAGTTTCACTGTATTCAGCATAGGATACATCTAAGTATGTGCACAGAACCACAGTCAAGAGTCAGTCCCATTAAGTCTAATGGACCTTACATCCATGTAAGTGGGAAAAACATTCTATTTTAAAAGCAGGCAGGTAGATAAAAATATTCCAAAGACAAATTCCATACTCCATGTCTGGCCAATCCTTTCATTAGGGACAAGAAGAATGCTACAAAACTGAGGAAGATTTCCAGGACTCCAGAATGCTTCAAGAAACTATCTGGTAACTGGGCTTATGTCTTTGCATTACACTCACACTCCTTTTCAGTCACAATTTATGAAGCAAACTGCCCATTATATTCCATGGTCTCTGGTATACTCCCACCCAGCATTAGGGGAGTAGCTTCAGTGTGATGTGTTCCTACTTGGCAAGAGTTTGCCTATATTTAAGGACGTCTTGTGGATGGGACTAATAATATGTGGGTGCTGCATACAAAATAGGCATCTTGCTGAAATGTTTCCTCATGAGTAGCTATCATGAGGTTGAGCATCCATTATTCAGAATTCTAAGATCTAAAAAGCTCCAAAATTGTCCAGCATTGCTTTCTGATGGTTCAATATGCACAAACCTTTGTTTCATGCCCAAAATATTTAAAACATGGTGTATAACATTACCTTTAAGTTAAATATGTATGTTTTATGTGAAACATAAATTAATTATGTGTCTAGACTTGGGTTCTTTCTTCATGATACCTCATTTGGTATATGCAAATATTCCAAAATCCAAGAAAAATAATAATAATTTGATATACAAAACACTTCAAATCCCAAGTCTTTTGGATAAGGAACACCCAACACATACTGCATTGGGTAGGTCATAATGTATCTCCCTTGTTGTTTAACAGATGCTGCAGAAGACACAGGGCTGCTGCTCAATTGGCGGTTCTATATTTCACTGGGTTGTTGTAGGTTTTTTGGGCTGTATGGCCATGTTCTAGAAACATTCTCTCCTGACATTTCTTCTGCATCTGTGGCAGGCATAATCAGAGGTTGTGAGATCTGTTGGAAACTAGGAAAACTGGGTTTATATATCTTTATATATAGTCACAGACAGGACCATAGCCAAAATTTTGATTGGGGGGGGGGTGAGTTTAGTTGGGGGGGGGGGTTGAACCTGAGTAAGAGAAGACCTACCCTAGAAACCTTTTGTATCATTATCCTAATACCCACATGCATATGGGATATATTGAGCATGGCGATCAGATCATGATATGAATAAACATAACAATTTAAATAATGTACTAGTAAGGCCTTCTTGCAGACCACCCTGAGAATTTGGGGGGGGGGGGCTGAAGCCCCTCAAGCCCCCCTCCCCCAGGCTACATGCCTGGTCACAGATATATAAACCCAATTTTCCTATTTTCCAACAGACCTCACAACCTCTAAGGATGCCTGCCACAGATGGTGAAATCTCAGGAGAGAATGCTTGTAGAATATGGCCATACAGCCCAAAAAACCTACAACAATCCAGTGATTCCGACCATGAAAGCCTTTGACAATACATTCTATATTTCACTCTTTCATCACACCACAACATCTAGCATCTATCAAAGTTCATTAAAAAAAGAAATAATTGTAACTGATGGATACAATGTGGTTTCAGCCGTGTTAAAAAATACCTCATATTAGACAGTTGAAGCACAGCTCTGTGTTGTGATTGTTTGTAGTATTTCTATTTGCAGCAACAATAATATGATTATTCTTACTTAAAATACCCAGAGATACACATAGCATCATTATAAACTATATCATATAAAACAATAAAAAGAACAACTATTGTGGCTTGGGCAAATTTCTATCTCCAGGCTCAGTTCTTCGTATGTAAAAATGTGGAGATGAAGGACTTACTTGAGAAAGCTATAATTTCTTTAATTACATGGTCTGCAAAATTTGAAAGTTCCGTTTAAATAGTAATCATTAGGTATAGAACTGATTCTCACACCTACAGAAGATGGGCTGAAGCTCAGAAGACATACACAATTATCCTCCACCATGTAAGTTGTATACGTTTCACACATACACACTCCATGTGTTTGCTGCATCCAGTGGGCCAGTATTGGCTTGCGAATAACACAGGAAATATGACAAGTGGTCACAAGATACTTTTTATCTCATTAAGCTGGAATGCTGTGGTGGATATGCGATGCCAACATTGCTCCAAAGCTAAAGTTGAGCAATCGACAATGTGTTACTTGGATCCTATGGTTCATTCCCATGCCAAAGAGCAGATGCCCAGAAAAAGCTGAATCTAAAACTGAATCTATAGTCAGCACTTGGACTAGTCTTCAAATAGAGGTTGGATTACAACTACTAGAATCCAACTGGTTGGGAGGTTCTGAGAAGTATAATCCAAAAAAGAGTAGCAGAAGGCCAAATTATAGCAAAGGTTGCCTGTTTATTGAGACTAAGCACAGTCATTTGCAGTGTATGAATTTGACTTGTATATGAAGTCCTTCAGTGTCCATTGTTAAAACACTGCCAAGCAGTGACAACAATAGCCCTTGCTCATTTCTACATACATTGCTCAATTGTCTGCTATCAAGGCAAGAGCTGACTGTGATGGCACGCCCGAGCCTTTGGGAAAACAATATTGTTTGGCTTTATTTGGGGGCTATCTGATACCTTCTGTTTAGATTAAGACCCTTAGCAGACAGAGGCACTTTGAGGCAAAGTGAAAAGATAACCAAACGAGTTTACTGAAACAAAATGAATAAAGGATTAACTCCACTTGGGACTATCATAGGTAATTTAAAACAATACATTACAAAAGGAGATCTTGCTGGTTGCAGTCATCTTTCTGGGGTCTTTGAAAGTCTCTCTTGCCTCTGGTGCAAAGCAATGGGTTATAAGTTGTTGCTTACAAACTGTCTTAATCTTCTCCCCTGTGAAGCTTAGGCTGGCCAAAAGCTTCTGTTGTCCTTTGGATTGTTGGTATAATAATACTGTTAAAAGCAGCAGGTGCTAAGAATGCCTATTTTGATTGCTTGGGTCTAGGGTTCCAAAAAATATCCAAGCTTCTATTGACTATAGAAAAGGGAGGAGTCCAGTACAGGGAAATGGACTAGACCAACCAAGACTGGCCTGTCAGGGAATTTTAAGCTCCACCCAAAAACGAATACAAAGGAAGGTCTCTACACTATTGGGAAAGCCTATAAACATTGAGAACTAAAGCAGAGGAGAGGAGAAGGCAGAGCCAAGACTTCACACTGACAGTGATCAAGCCCGGAGGAAAGAGACTGCTTCTGGCATAAGGAAGGAACCTGGTGTTCTTCAGATGTTTTGAATGATAATACACCTCATATGTGACCATTTGCTATGAAACCTGAGCCTTTTAGAAATGGTAGTCTAAAGCAAATATGTGTGACAAATCCAACTTCAGTCTGATGTTTGGTGAGCTGGTCTTTATCCACACTTTCTGGAATATGAGTTAAATTTATAAACATGCACATTCCTAGCCCAAATTATCTGGAGAACACCAATGTATGATTTACAGAATATTTTATTTTACTTGTCACACATGTATCTATCTTGCTCACCTTCCAGCTAGCTTGTGTTGATCTGGATTTCTGCTGATCATACTTTGTTTTTTTAACAGGTAATTGCTTACTTGAAAACAGAGTCACATGTTGCTTCATCTGCTTCTAAAGATGCCCATCTTCCTTTTCCTCTTCCTCACAGGTAAGAAAATCATGTGATATACACTTAATGCATAAGTGTGTCTGGTTGAATTGCTCATGGAATTCAGAACTATCAATATTTTAACTCCTATACAAAACAATTATTTACTATAGCCAAACACATGCACAACGATATAGTCAGCCCTCCACCTTTACTAGGGTTAGGAGTGTAGGATTTACACAAAAGTGGAAAACATCATAAACAAAAAAACGTGCTCTTGTTTTGCCTGAGAGAACACCTCTCTACAAATCTCTAGGTTTTCTATGGTGATTCTTTGGTTACCTTCTTCCAAAAGGTGACCATAGAGCTCTGTGGGAGGATCTAGAGATTCGTAAAGAACCATAGTAATCAAATTTGCAAATAATTAAATCCACAAAAGTTAACCTTACAAATGTGGAGGGCTGACTGCAGCATATACATCGTGACATGCTGCCAATCTTACATTTAAAATAATAGCATTTGTTTCTAGGAGAGGTTTGCACAGGAAACAAAATACATCCCACCATACATATAGAACAGCCACCACAAAATAAAGTTCAGCTGGTGGGAAGGGGAGAGCCTTTGTTGGAAAACAGTTCATCTATGTGTAAAGTGCTTCTTTAAACATATGGGGTGCAGAAAAAAGTCCTACAGCATTTAGGGGAAAGCTGGATATTGTTGTATTCCCATCAGCCCAGCCCCACATGGTCAGCACTGGAAGGGAGAGATTATTACAGTTCAACAACAAAGATGGAAACACTCTGTGTATGTATTCGGTTTCCATTTTTTCACCAGATTGCTCTATTTGTGAAAATAGCTTAAAATGCATAGACATGATCTTATGCATACATTCACTTTGCAACACACCTTATCTCTTTTGTACTCATCAAGCACCCATTACATACCATAAGATTAAGCCATGCCATTTTCCCCTGTTCTGTTGGTAAACCTAGAGGTCCTTAGTGTAAAGCATGCCATGTGAGGTGAACTTCTATCACTTGAACTTATCATCTTATGTCCAGTATCTATTCTCATTAAATAAAGAAAAGAGGAGGATGGTGATTCAGGCACAAAAACTTACTGTTGTGGACTGTGTTCACATTTTGGTGGCCTGCACGTTGTGTGGCCTGCTGCAGTGTTTTGCTCCAGGGATAGACGATTTCTGCCAGCTGGAGTTGTTGTCTCTCTGACATCCTTCAGGCAGGGGACCTACAGAGCTTTGGCACAAAGTGAATCAACACAAGCACCTCCGGCTTCTTTAAGACTGAGAGCAATGCCAGGACTGCTGCCTTGATGCCCAATTTGAAACCTTTCTGCTTCAAAGTCTCCATTGCTAATGCTCAACATCCTGTTTTAGTCCTGCAGTAATTACACCTTTTATTCCTGTTATTTTATAAACAACCTTCTGAGCATAGTGAGCGTCTGTTTTTGTATTTGTGGGAAGGGGACATTTTGTAGACAAGCCAAAAACTATTCAGAGGTGGAAAGTTTATTTAAAATGCTAGTCAGGATGGTTGTTTGTTTAAATTAAAACCAAAGCAACAAGTCTTTCTGTATCAAGGCTTATACATTTGGAGTGCCAATGCAATCCCTTGGGAAGATAGGGCGGGTTAAAAATAAAGTGTTGTTGTTGTTATTATTATTATTATTATTATTATTAGTCATGCTGTCTCATGTTTCTAGTAATTCAATTGGATTTGATCTAGATAATGTCGAACATGGAAGTGCAGAAACTGGATTAGCATGGAGCAGAAATGCATGGGGCAGGAAAGATAAATTCTGGACGCTCACAGTGTGCAAGATGGTGCTATGGGTTTCAGTGAAAAAAGTTGACAATTACTACCCCCTTTATTGGATTTCTACTGGATCCCAATCTTTCCATGAATGGGGTTTGTGGGGAAACAACCATTGTTCTTAATGTTTGGCCACCTAGAATACTTATAACTAACTAATGCCTTCACTAAACTAAATATATAAGGGCCCATCTACACTGCCAGATAAAATCCATATTATCTGCTTTGAACAGGATTATCTGGCAGTGTAGACTAATATAATCCAGTTTAAAGCAGATAATTTGGATTTTATCTACCAGTGAAGATGAAGCCTTAGTGAGGCTTTGGTGTTTTGGATGCCCATATTAATGAGTTTTGAAAATCTGCCATTGGCAATACCATTTGGAGAAGGACTCTCTTGACATCTTCAAGAGCCCTTCTCTCTTTCTTAAGAGTACAGAGTTCTAAATGTAAATGTTTCCTTTCCCTCTGCATTGTGCTATTCAATGAGAAGTGGTGTATGGTTGAAATGACACTACTTACTGATTCCACAAAGGGTCCACTACCTTTGGGAGAGAATTATTGGCTCATTTACATGTACCATTAAATATGGGGCCAGGCCAGGTTTGGTGACAGCGTAGAAAGGCCCTGTGAAGAGGATAATTAAACATCTGCAGTCCTTTACCTACAAAAATGCCCCCTTGAATTTGTGGGATTTCTAAGAAACTTCTATAGCTATTATACTATGAGTGAAAGTTATTACAATCTCTTTACCTGTTCTCAGTGGTAACCCGGGTAAGCCTCTGTATTAGCTAGGAAGCTGAAAACTGTGATGGGCTCATAGGAAGCAATCCAGGAAATGGTTGTCTGCCCTATCATTTCCCAAAGAGTTCCTGGCAATTTTATTTTTAGTTATACTGCCATCTTCCTTTCACATCCACTGCTGATTAACTCTCTCCAAAAGAAGTCATACCACAGAAATCTGTGTCATGGTGGTCACCCAGGTTCTTAAAAATGCACAGGTTGAATCTCTTGAATCAGGAGTGTCATTTCTGTAAACCAGGAATTCATCTATTGATTAAAGCTGTCCCTCTTTCCACAGCATGAGAAAGCCAGCATACCGCTAATTCTAGGAAGGAACAGTATTCATATTATATTGGTGCTTTTCGGTTGTCCAAAAATTATCTTGTTAACATAATACACCCATCACTGAGTAAATGTGGAGCCCTTTGTTTTCCTCATAGTTATAATACAAAAGGAATCTTGTAGTAATGCTGGAAGCATTGGCCTCTTCTTCTTGAGGAAGAAAATTAAGTTGAGAAAGAGGTCCAGTTATTTTATATATGCCTATGAATACATTTTTCCTGCAAAATCTATTTATTAGACAGTCTTGACTTTACTTTGGCCCATATTTAGCTATCCAAACGGCTCAGCAGTTTAATGTTATATAGATGAATATATAGTTTATATTTCAGAATCCAGTTTGCCATTTATTAGAAAGCTTTCTCACACTAACCTCAGTGAATCCTTTGAATCCTTCTTATCATCTTCTTTTATTCCAATTTTTCCCAAGGACTGCTAGGAATCAGCTCTCTGAAGATCTCTCCAAATGACCGTGAAGTCATCCTTAGTCTCTACAGTGATTTTACTTTGACATGTTCTGGACAGGATGAGGTTTTCTGGATGAAAGACAACAAACATAACATCATAGACACTGTTCTAGAGAAAAAGGGTGGCACTTTTTTTAACACCCTCACACTTAGGAACGTGAGTGGATTCGACACGGGCGAGTATTCCTGTAATTACATCCAGCTACCCGGGGGAAAAGCCATCTATATTTTTGTACCAGGTACTGTTATTTGTATTGCTGCGTGTTGATTCTTTGAAATATGTTTTCTATCAGTGTTCATGGAAGATGGAAATGTGTAACATAGGTCTGGAGGAATTTTGCAACTGATTCAGCTCTTCAGAAGCCAGAATAGTCCTGGGCTTCCTTTAACTGTAGTTCATGTTTCTGTAAAGTCAGATATTGCTCTATGATCCAGAAGATTTTAACAAATGACTATTAGTGAAAACATCTGTACATACCATATTTTCCCACTTTCAACTGAACTAAAGCAAACCTTGACAGAGGAAAGGTTCTCCCCATACCTTTTTTTAGAAGGATGATCATGAATTTCACAAGATGATGCATAATGGCTTGTTGACTTGGGTTGTTCCAAGACCTTTTGCTACTTGAGGCAAGCGAGAAGGCTCTAGCCGACCTTTTTATGTTCAGAAGCCAACCAGTTTGATTTTATGTCAGCCTTGAGGTGCCTCAAGGCAATTTCTTTAGTGCTTCAAGCAGACCCATAGCCAGGATTTTGAAAAAAAAATGGGGGGCGGGGAGGGCTGAGGATCTACCCTAGCAAACCTTTTGTATCGTTATCCCAATACTCCCATGCATATGGGACATATTGAGTATGATGATCAGATCATGATATAAATAAACATAACAGTTTAAATAATGTACCAGTAAGGCCTTCTTGCAGACCACCCTGAAAATTTCAGGGAGGGGGGCTGAAGCCTCTCAAGCCCCATCCCTCCGGCTACATGCCTGGCTTCAAGGATTGCAGGCTTAAGGGGAAACGGAGCAGGCTGTATAACACACATCACTCCCTTCCCTATCGTCCAGCATCTCACTGTTGCATTTACTCCTAGCATCTGTCATTTGGTTTAATGGTAAATCCAGTGTATTGGGTATGTTGGGGTGGCTGTATGAGGTGGCCCATGCTCAGACTACATGTGCCTCTAGTGCAAACTTATCTTTGTGGTGGGCTGATATTTTGTATTTGAAAAGCAATAAATCCAGACTTGCATGTAGTATTCTTCTAATTCCATATCCACTTAACACCAGTCCCTGTCATTAAAATAGATACCCCCAATCTTAAGGTAATGCAGGGGTGTGTGTGTGTGTGTGTGCATGTGCGTGTGTATAGGTAAAGGTTTCCCCCTGACATTTAGTCCAGACGTGTCCGACTCTGGGGTTTGGTGCTCATCTCCATTTCTAAGCCAAAGAGCTGGCATTGTCCATAAACACCTCCAAGATCATGTGGCTGGCATGACTGCATGGAGCTCCGTTACCTTCCCACCAGAGCGTTACCTATTGATCTACTCACATTTCCTTTTTTTTAACTACAAACCAGATTCTGCCTTGCCTAAACCATAGAAGACATCTCACTGTTATAGTCCAGTACCATAACTAAACTTTACACTAGCGTTGTCTGTTTCTGGTTACATTTACTCTGTTTATCTCTCATCCTACAACCAAGGAACTGTATGAGCTAAAAGTATATTTTGAGACTGTGTGAAATTACCTTCATAGCTAACCTGTGTCAGTAATTTTTCATTTTGAATGGCTATACATTGTTCTTGATATTGAATAACTGATTGAGTTCTCTCAATATTTTTCTTCCTACAGACCCCTCTTTGCCATTCCTACCAAATACACATGATGACACATTTGTTTTTAGCACTGGCCATGTGGAGGACATCATCCCATGTCGTGTGACAGACCCAAACACTACAGTGACTGTGTATGAAAAAAAGGTTAATGACCCAGTCCCTGGTGTTTATAACCCACAACAAGGGTTTAAGGGATACTTTGATGATACAACATACATCTGTAGGGCAACTATAGATGAGCAAGAGTTTGACTCTGAGCAATTCTATATCTACAGCATTGAAGGTGAGCCTTTTCTTAATATCCCCCTCTACCATTATGGGTAAAAGAGTCCATCATCAGTGTAAAAAAAATCTGCATTATAATAACAGCAGTATAGCTCTGTGTTGATGGAACAACCTAAAAACAAGTAACAGTGGGGGAAACTATGCAACATGACCCCTGGAAGTGGATATATTCACGGATCAGAAATTATTCATATAATTTGAAATTGGCCATGCTGATCAATATATTTTGTGGTTTGGAACAGGTTCCTGGTTATTCTGCTGTACAGCCAGATTAATTTTTCATGCACCTTTGGGTACCCAACCACAACAGAGAAAACATTTTCAGTGGTTGCTCCTTAGGGAAGTTTACCAGGATTGGCACCAATCTTACTGTCACTTTAGCATCTTGTTAATATCTTACTCCCAGGACTTTGACCATATTTTTTGGTCTCTGTGGAATTAATTAGAGTTACACTATTGAGTGGTCATATACAGCAAGCAATTGCAGATTGTATTTAATTTTATGGCATGGACTATATCTGATGAATTAAGATGTATTGTTACCATGTTATTGTTTTATAGTCATATTTTAAATTGTTTTGAGATGCAACAATCTGTCTAAAACCATAAGAGAATAACCTCTTCATTGTTGCTATCTACATCAGACAACTTGGCTTACGAGTAGGACAAATTTTCAGTTATGTCAGCAGTCATGCCTGTAGATGGCTATAGCTTGGCTTCTTTGTATATTCGTTTCATCTTTTCTCTTTTATAGTTCCTTCTCAACCTAACTCTGCTATCAACATGTCTGTTAGCGCAATGCAAACTATTGTGAAGCGTGGCGAAAATATATCTTTGTCATGTACAGTAAGAGGTATTCAGTTGGTTAATTACACCTGGAGCTATCCAGGTCAAAAAGTAAGTGATTCTATTTCTATTGAAATGTAAATTTATTTATTTTATAAAGTATTTATAGCTTATTCTACATCCTAAGAGCTCGTGCCATGATATAGGAAATAAAATGCTGAAGACCTTCTCACACTGCACAGTTATAATGCTATGATTTCAATTAATTTCCACGGAAAACTCATATGGAATCATGGGATTTGCAGTTTAGGGAAGGAGCATTTAAAATTCTTAGCCAGAGAGCTCCAGTGCCACTTAACTAGAAACCCCAGGATTATATATAATGAAACCATGGCAATTACATAAAGTGGAATCATAGCACTGTAAAAGTGTGGATAGAAAGGGACATAAATAAGAGGCTTTCCTGAGCTGCAGAAACTTTACTGAAGAGCCAAGTTTTAACCTGGTCCCAATATTGATGCCCATCATCTCTTAAAGAGAAAGGCTTTCCTCAACCAGGGTATCATAGACCCTCTCCCATGTCTCCAAATACTGCATTGTTCCCATCCATGGAACACTAAGGAATGCCCTGCCGGTGATCTCAATGTGTGGGCAGAAATTCCTTTAAGTATCAAGATCCCCAGGCATTTAAAGCTTTCCATGTCATTGGTAGCATCTTGGATTCTGACTGGAAACATACCAGCAGCCAGTGCAGATTTTCTTACAAGTGATGCCATAGGATTAGGTGTTCCTGCCAGCAATTTGGCTGCCACATACTGCATTAATTTCAGCCTCTGTGTTTTCTTCAATGACGGCCCCACATAGAAGGCACTGTTGTAGTATTAAATAGGAATTTGTCAGTGAACGAGCGACTGGAGCCAGCTCAGCTGTCCCTAGATGAGACAAATCATATAGCTCTGTTTCGTTCTTTCCTCAGGCTGTGTTATGTAATGAAGATGGCTTAAGGCAGGTTGGGGGATGATCTAAATAGAGAGTATCGTGCCACTGTTGATTTGCCTGGGATCTCTCAGTGGTTTGCAGTACCATTCACTATGGGATTCTTCTGGGCCATCTCTCAAGAATGAGGCTGCTGTTTTACAGTGTCTCTGGATCTTGTCCATGGGGTGCACTCAGATGGTGATGCTTGGCAATTCCCTTTTAAGCAACCTGGCCACAAAGGTCTCTGTTTTGTCCCAATGTCTAACATAGAATTTGTTCATAGCTGTGGGATTTGTTGACAGCAGTATGCTGATGATGCCCACATCTATTTCTTTAATTTCCATTCAAATTTATGGAATCTGTTTTGGTTCTAAATTGGTGTCTGCTGTCAGTTTTGGATGCCATGAGTGTGAGCAGACTGAAACTGACTCCAGAGAAGACAAACGATCTCCTTGTCAGTCAAAAGGCAGTTCAGGGAGCATAGATTCGGTCTCTGTTTCTTGGGGTTGTATGCACATCTTGGGCGTGCTCCTGGACTCAGCCTTGAGGTCTGAGTGTTCAGTTCCAGTAGTGGTCTGGTGTGCATTTGCAGTTAAGTCTTCTGCACCACCCTCTCTAGAGATGTCATATTTGGCTATGGTGACATATGCCTTGATTGCATCCCTTTTGGATTACTGGGAGTGCCCTTTGGAATCTATTGGGAAACTTCAGCAGGTCCAAAAACACTACAGCCAGACTGCAGGGAAGATTTAATTCCCTTCTTTGCAGCAGCTTATATACCCGCCAAATTCTTTCTAGACACAAGTCAGAGGGCTGGGTTTGACCTATAAAGCCTGAACAGCTTGGGTCCAGACTGTCTGAAAAACTGTATTTCCTGATAGGAGCATGTCTGATTTTTAAGATCCTTGGGGAAAGGCTTTCTTTCAGCCCTATTACTGTTAGAGGCATTGCTAGTCATGAGGCACAAGAGGGTTTTTTCAGGGGCTGCTCCCAGGCTATGGAACTCCCTCCAGTGCAAGACTGGCCTGAGCACCTCTAAGCTTTCCTTTCTCTGGCAGAAAACTTTTTTATTTGATGTTTGGTAGTTAACTGGTTGTTGAAAACGAGGACTGGTACTCTCATTTTCATTGCCATGTCTCATGTTAGGAGAAAGATTTGGCATTAGTACCTCTCTTATATACTGCAAATCCTTGTTCATTTTGCACATGGTACAGGTGTTATTTTCAACATTTAAAACAATACATTAAATGTATTTACTGATATGTCAAGTTTTGCCTTTATTAGTCTTCCTTTAGAGTAGTTGTGGAAATCCCGTGGCCCTCCAGATGTTGTGGAACTGCAATTTCCAGCAGCCCTAAACCAGAATAGTCAATGCTGAGGAATTCTGGAGCCTGTAGTCCTACACATCTATTCCTGAGCAGCTAAAGCAGTGGTTCTCAATCTGTGAGTCCCCAGGTATTTTGACCTACAACTCCCAGAAATCCCAGCCAGTTTACCAGCTGTTAGGATTTCTGGGAGTTAGAGGCCAAAACATCTGGGGGACCCACAGGTTGTGAACCACTGAGCTAGAATAATACTGATGAAAACATTATTGGATTAATTAATGTGCTCATTTAAACTCTGGCCCTGCATAACTCAGCTGTCACACATCCAGAAAAACTTTTCTTAGCTTTCAAGTTGTAGCTGAAGTCTGGTTTCTGTTTTATGATTACCATTATTTGATTCTCAGAAAGCAATGTAATTCATTGTGCAGATTATGATAATCACATTTTCATTATGCTCAGGCATGACTCCTTGAAGTCTGAAAGGAAAAGAAGGCACTTTGCAGAAAACCTGGTCTGAACATACTGAACAATACTGAACAACTTTGTCTTGTATATTCCATCTCTTTCATTGGATGTGCTTTTCTCCAAAGACCTTCCATCATCATATGTGCTGATTAGTTATATAAAATACAGATGCTATATGCTAGTAGGGGTAATATGAACACAAAGGAATAAGATGTACTTCCTGTCAGTGTTCTTAAACATCTTATCTTTAATCATTTAAGCATGGTGTTTGGCCACATTCTTAAAAATAGTTGCTTGATTTAACAAATGTGTGATGTCATCATCACCATCACCATTTTTCAAAAGGTATATCCTGCCCTCTATCTGAAGTTCTGAAAGTGGTGTACAGTAAAATCTACATGATTAATTTGGGGCTGCATCTTAACAGGGCAGAAAAGGTGATGCTGATCCAGACTGGGGTACCAGAAGCTATACTCCATTCACCAAATGGGATGGTGGGGTAACCAGTGGTGGCCGCTTCCTGAACAGGAAATGGCACAGTTGATTACATGTGCCCAAAGTCACTGTGTGGATGTTGCAGAGTTTTGGGAAAGCTCCAGAGTATCCAGTGACTTCTGTTATTATAATTCAATGCAGTGTTATGCTTATATTGTGTAACCATTGTAGAACTGATTCCCCACTCCCACCAGTGCCAGTGAAGATGCACCCAACAACAATGTGAACAATAAAATCATTTTAAAAGGCTAAAGCATATTAAACAATTGGGAAAGTCACACTCTGTCAGACGCACAGCATGGTGTAGTGGTTTGAGAGTATTGGAATACAGCTCTGGAGAACAAAGTTTGAATCCATGCTCGGCCATGGAAACATGCTGGGTGGCCTTGGGCAAGTCACATTCTCTCACTCACTGAACAAATCTTGCCTAGAAAATCCTATGAGATATGTGTAAAATAATGTTTTTACTCATACTGGAATGAGAACAACAATATTATTGATTAGGTTTCTAAGAGGAATGTGTTTCATAGCTGAGATGCCACAGCAAAGAAGCCTTGATTCTATGAAAGCAATGTGCATTATTGTGCAAATTCCTTATCTTCCAATATGATGTTGCCCTGACTGATGTCACACACAGGAGGGCTTCTCCAGCAAAACACAGGAGCCGAGTCTGGAGAACTCTTTCATTCCTTCTATTGCTAGGTGCTGCTTCCCTCATCTTTCTTCCTTTCCCTCTGCAGGTAGGCAAGGTGGTTAAGATAGATACACAGTTTGCACAAGGAATCTACCACTATTCCACACTAACCATCCACAACGTTGAGCTAGAAGATGAAGGACCATATGTTTGTGAGGCCATTGATACCTATCATGGGAGGAAAGAAGCACAAGGCATCAGTATCAGAGTGCTTGGTATGTTGGCCAAAATCTTTTTGCTTATCACCCAAGATATTGAAAACCTATAATTTCTAGATATAAATAGGGGCACCTCAAGCTTTCTACCTGTCATGAAATTGCATCTCTCCTGCCTCTAACTTTCTCTACAGCAGAATTTGTCAAGTCAAAACGTTTTTCCTCACCTGTTCCTCTTTGTCCTGAATTTACCCATACCGATTTCTGCTTCCTTAAGAGGTGGATGGATCTTTAATTATTGGTTTTCTCTCTTTAATTGCTTATTTTTGTTTTTTTGTTTTTTTCATTTAACATAATTCTGCAATTGCTAACTTGCAGGCATAAACATATTTATAGCTTATCTTATTGAATCATGAGTGTTTCAAATGAAATTGCCACAGTGCTGTTGTTAAGATTTGGGGATGAAGACATATTCTGAAACCAAAGTCTAGATGGCATCCCTCCTGAATAAGAAAAACCATTTTACATGTACTGAAGAATCATTTCTCTTTAAAGGGGTAATTGAAGGTACTATCTGCCATCCTGATCCTCCAGCTATTTCACCACATCAATTCCCAAATAGAAGCTTAGGCATATATACCTATGTCACCTCAATCCTGCCACATGGAAGAATGGCAAAGCCAGAGTCATGTTGCCTTTCCATATTTTTTCTCTTTCACCCTTCCTTATCTAGACCATGGCTTTGTGACCTTCCACACTGTTATGAATGACACTGTGTTTGCTGAACTGCACAAGAGCCACGTTTTCCATGTGCAGATTGAGGCCTATCCAAGCCCAACTATTGTCTGGTCTCAGAATAACCAGCCACTGACCTCAGGAAGCAACAACGAATTTGCCATCAGCACCAGAAATTTGTCAGAAACCAGGTAAACAGTCTGTTGTTGAATAAACTGAAATCTCCTAGACGAAATCCTTTCACTGGGGCAATAGGATAAAGAGAGATAAAGTCAGATATAAATAAATGTTGTTGTTATTAGTCTCACAGCATTTGTCTACCATGACAGAGGCTCTTTCTACACAGTCATTCTATCCCAGGATCTGATCCCAAGCTATCTGCTTTGAACTGGATTATATGAGCCTCCACTGTGTAGAAGGGACCAGAGGAGGTTTCTTGCTGAATACTTGAAAGCAAATTCCCGGATTATCATACAAGTGTTACAACTCAGGAGTAATGAATTCTAGCTTGCATAAAGGGTATAGGTTTCTTTCTTTGGTTTTCAAATTTTCCTTTTCACAAAGCAGCAGGTTTTCTGCCTCTTTTGCCGGACCTAAGCTCTTTCTCCAGTATTTTAATTTTTGTAAGTTTCACTTTATTCCAGGTATCAAACTACTCTAACCCTTGTAAGAGTGAAACAAAGTGAAGGAGGTTTATACACTGTCCGAGCTTTCCATGACGATGACTCGGAGGACCTCTCCTTTTACTTGCAGATTAATGGTGAGCACATCCCTTTGCAATATTATTTTGGATTAAATATATCCTCATTGAGACCTAGTATGTAAAGAAATGAAAAATTGCATTTCAGAAGTCCAGGTCTCTCCACCCTATGTATCCTACTGCTACAGGTGCCATTCCTTTTGTACTTTCATTTCTTTGCCACTGAACAAATGCACCAAACCAGAGGTGATGGAGGACAGAGATGGAGAAATTCAAAATTTAGATCTATATTGTGTTTTTCTAGAACCCCCCAAATTCCACCAACAAAAACAGGTTGAAATCACTTTAAATGAACTGAGGGATCATGTGGTCTGAGCCTGGATATCTGTTTTCATTAATGTTTTTGCTAATTGACAATTAAAATGGAAGCCCATGAAAAATTTATATATAAAAATTATAAATATAGTGCATAGCTCTTAATCCTTCCATTCTAACAACAACTTTATACTAAGATCAACTCTTTTTTCTTTAATAAAATTTCTAAACATATGAGAGATCTTATTTTCTGAACTAGAGTTTCTCTATATAGTACATCATTTATTTATTTATTTATTTATTTATTTATTTATTTATGACATTTCTACCCCTCTTTTCTCTTTTCAGAGGTGACTCATTACATTACATGACATTGCATGACATTACACCATTATCAGTAGTAATAGCATAGATTTGCTCCATAACTGATTTACTACCAAAATCATCAAAGCTGATAGGATATTTGAATTGTGAAAGTACACATGTACTTTGCCTGTAAAAAATCCCTTGGAAATTGTACATGTAGATTACTTACTTATTTAGGTGATCCCTCATTGTCTGAATATGATGACCTTCCAAGTGTAGTGTCTTGGTGGTGGATATGTAGGTGCCCGTGGAGCCCTGTTCTTGATTCACATGTTCTTCCACAACGAGGACATCAGTTTCCAGGTGGAAGGAGGTCCCAGTCAGGGTTGGCTTGACACACCTTCCTCTTGGCAAGTTTCTCCCTTTTGTCCTCCATTTGTGCCTCTTCGAATTCTGCAGCACTTCTGGTCACAGCTGACCTCCAGCTAGAGTGCTCTAGGGCCAGGGCTTCCCAGTTCTTGGTGTCTATGCCACAGTTTTAAGGTTAGCTTTAAGCCCATCTTTAAATCTCTTTTCCTCTCCACCAACATTCCATTTTCTGTTTTTGGGGTGGGAGTATAGTCATTGCTTTGGGAGAGAGTGATCGAGCATTTGGACTACATAGCCAGTCCAGCGGAATTGATGGCGTAGGAGCATTGCTTCAATGCTGGTGGTCTTTGCTCCTTCCAACATGATAACATTTGTCCAGCTGTCTTCCTAAGAGAGTTGCAGGATTTTTTGAAGACAATGCTGACTATACTACTTTCTTTCATCTGTGGTGGGGAACTGTTTATTCCTACCATCTCCTTCTTGTTTGCTGATAATTTCCTACTTGTCCTCCATTCTTTCTCCAATGTACTCAGTCCCAGCTAAAGTGACAGACCTGAGAGAAAACAGCAACACCAGCAGTGGGGAACAAACTGTGACATGTATTACAGAAGGAATGCCTCAGCCAGAGATTACCTGGTTTACCTGCAATGATGTCAAGCGGTAAGGAGCTTTCTTTTGCACCATTTGCATAGTGCCTTTGTGATTGAAGCTCTGAGTGAGGAAGATGGCAGTGGGAATGACGCAGGACTCTCTGTAATTAATTCCAATAACTGTGTTATAGAGAGAGCAGCTTGCAATCACCATGCTGCTTGCGTTCAGTTGGAAAGTGAAGTATCACTGTATGTACAATAGATATTTTCTTCTCCACTAGGCAATCTTGGTTCCCAGTTTTCTGGGGGTTTTTTCTCTCTCCCAGCAGAGTGAACATGCCATGCCCAGTGAACATCTTCAACCCTCTGTTTTTGGCAGAGTGGAGGAGAGAATGAATTTTCTGTCATTACATTTTTAAAGTGGCTTTGTAGTTTTAGAAACCTTCCTGAGTTTTTTCATTCTTTATACTGGTTTAATTTTTTTAAGGTGCTCTGAAGAATTCTCCTATTACTGCTTTTTGGAGTATATATACAGAACCAGTTCACTCCAGGAGTTTAAACACAAGTTAAACCTCAATCAGTCATCAATAGCAGTGCCTTATTTTTATTACAGAAATATTATGCCTTCACTCCACATGGAATTAAAAGCACAAGGGGCAGGATGTCACCCCACCCAGCTGTGGCCAGACCCAACCTGAATTAGGAGCTTATCACACAAGGCAGGCACATTGCAATTATGGCAGAAGAACAGTGTCTTTGGCTAGGTTTTATCTCATGACATCATTACTTTCCCATCATTCTCCTGGTGGAAAAAAGTCTGAAAACCATTTTTTTACAAAACCAAATAACCTATTAATGACCTCCTTCTTTAAAAGAATCACCTTCCAGTGGACTCCCACTGAGGCTGGATCTACACTACTATATAATCCAGTTTCAGAATGCAGATTAACTTCATTGAACTGGATTATATGAGTTTACACTGCCATATAATCAAGTTCAATGTAGTCTATCTGTATTCTGAAACTGGATCATGTGGTAGTGTAGATCTAACTTGAGAGGACAACAGAAAAAATAGCAAAGTAGTGTGATAAGCAATTGCTGTAATTGCAATTTGACAGGTCATGTGATAAACTCTTTGACTTCAGCAACATAGCTCCATTCTGTGCTGTCAGGTGATGCCCTGGGTTATGTTAATGCTCTCAATGTAAGATTAGAATTTCAACTTTCAATACAATGCATTATTACTTGTAAGTAAAGCTCTGAATCCAGTAGGTCAGTGGTTCTCAACCTTTAATTCTCCAGGTGTTTTGGACTTCAGCTCCCACAGTTCCTAACAGCTGGTAAGATATCTGGAACTTCTGAGAGTTGAAGTCCAAAACACCTGGAGGACCAAAGGTTGAGAACCACTGCAGTAGGTCATCCTTCTGAGTAATTAGGCATAGGATGGGTAGAGCATGATTGAATCTGACATCCAAAAAGGACATTTATATTGTTCTTTCTGTTGCCTGGTGTCTTCTGGAAACAGATGTAATGGGGAGGCCACCAGAATCCTGGGGAATACTTCTGAAGATATGGATCTACAAATAAACTCCACCTACCGAGATGACCTAAGGATTTACATTGTGACAAGCAAGCTGCGCCTCAACCGAGTAGATGAGCCACTCTTCATAAGCTGTGATTCTAGAAATCTCTTAGGCGCAGATTCTCAGAACATCACCTTGGTACCACACAGTGAGTTCTACAGCATATGCCTGAGTATATATGTGTATGTGTATATATGTGTTATGTTGCACTGGTCACATAACCTCTTCTTTTTTATTGGTTTGTCATTGGATCTCAGGAAAGTGTGCAATAAAATCAATTTAATCAATTTCAAACAATAAAAAATAATTTAACTAGACTATATTGGATTATAATCTGAGTATAATCTCATGACTACAATAAAAAGAATTTACTGGGTAGCTGTGAGTTTTCTGAGCTGTATGGCCATGTTCCAGAAGCATTCTCTCCTGACAGTAAATAAAGAGGAACACTCACAAAACAGGGAGATTCCTGACATGCAACAATCAGGGCCAGCTAACACCTCTCAACAAAGGATGCCCACAGGCAGGAATCAGCCAGACTTTGAAACTACAAGGCCATTCAATGCTAATCAACATGGCCAATTGCAACATTCACACTTGCCTCAAGCAGACAAGAGTTGTTCCTCCCACCCATTTGTGGTCATTCCACAAATATATAAACCTCACTTGCCTAATTTTCAACAGACCTCACAATCTCTGAGGATGCCTACCATAGATATGGGTGAAACGTCAAGAGGGAATGAAAACTCACAGCGACCTAGTGATTCCGGCCATGAAATCCATAAATAGAAACAAAAATGCCCATAGTAGTTAGCACATGAGTTGGAAACATGTGTTCCTCTAAAAATTGTTGCAATGCAACTCTTGTCATTCCAAGATAACATAACAGGTAGAGAGGAATAACGGGTGTTGTAGTCCAAAAGCATCTTGGAGGGCCACATAATCCCCATGCCCCCAGGAAATATGCATTATTTTACAGTATTGTGGTCCCCCCCCCCCCCCCCGGTGAACTACATTGGTATTTCCTGCCCAAAATGCCTGTTTTTTAAAAAGTGTTTTTTTGTTATTATAAACAAAGGACATATCTCATATCGGGAAAGACATGCCACGTGGAGGCTTCTGGAGATGTTATCCTTCTCACTCTGCCCCTCATGTGTTTTTTTTTTTTTTGTGCGGTTTGTTAAAGGTGTGGGAAATATTTTTGTATTTCACTTTGAATATGGAGATATCATATGTCCTCCTGGAATGGGGCATTGAATGGGATCATGAGAAGGAGTCTGTGGCATCTATGAGCGTATCTTATGCCAAGCAGCTGATATTGCGTAGTGCTTTGGATATGTTGAAATAGATAGTTGGTTGAAATGAATCATCTAGCTTGATTGAAACTTTTTATCTTTCAAGGGCCAGACTACTCTTTTCCCCATGGCTAAGTCTTAAGTTTTACCTGTGCTGGTGAACCAGTTCTGTGGAGAGCAAGGCCCTGGTGTAAAGATGACTGGTTCCTCCAGGAAACCTGGTCCAGGAGTACCATCACTGGAGACCTTTTGCCCAAGAGGCTCTGAAAGACAGACTCCTGATGTTGGCCCTCAGCTGCACATCTCAGTGGTCTTCCTGAACCCATGGGGTGCTCCTCCTCAATGTTCTGGCTCCCCACAGGATCCAGATGAAGAAAGGCTGGGGTGCCTTTCTGAACAGGATGTGATTCTTCTACTCTGGAAAAATTCTTCTGCTTTGGATCATTGAATAAAGATGCATCTGCATTGTAGAATTAATGTATTTTGACGTCATTTAAGCTGTCGTGGCTCATCACTGTGGAATCATGGGAGCTATGGATTTTAACATTATTTAGCCTTCTCTGCCAAAGAGTGCTGATATCTCACCAAACTACAAATTCCAGGGTTCCATAGCATTGAGACATGTGGTGTCAAGCTGCATTAATTGTACAATGTAGAAGTCTGTAGGGTGGGGGTTGTTTCCACCATGGAATTAACACTGAGAAAAGATAACACAGCCAATCTAATCTAATAAGATAAAAGAAAATGAGCAAGAGGTTTAAAATGGAGGACTGCATTCTTCTTCTACATCATCTTCTTTTGATCTCGCTTGTTATCTGCAGGGGAGACTTGGTTGAAAGAAAATGTCTCTATAGACTTTAACAAGAATTGCTCTTCCACTCATGATGTGATATGAGGGTTTGTGCTTAAGGACAAAGAACAAGAAAGATCAAGAGGTGTTGGAGAAGGCACTGTGGCAGTTTTCTGACTAACTGTAAATCTGTGTTAAAATGAGATGAACCACTGCTAGAGTTTCTGCATTTTGTTTAATGTTGATGTCTTATTGTTAGTTTATTGTAAGCCCATTAATCCTTCTGGCTAAAAAGTAATATTACAATGTAAACTGATATAATGTATTTCCTTGTTTGGCAGCCATAAATAACAAGGCTATTTAATAATGTTGCATGTTCTCACTGTTTCAGATTTGCCCTTTAAAGTCATCATCATCTCAGTCATCCTGGCCTTGCTGGTCCTTATGGTTCTTTTTTTGGTGATCCTCATCATTGTGTGGCGAAAGGTAAGAGTCTTTCTGCTTCCTTTCCATGTTTCATGGATAGATTAGATTTATACAGAAAAGCTAGAAATTATCTGAGTCCCTTACTCTTAAGGAAATGTGGTTTGAATATTTTTGGATTATTTATTTATTTGCCATATTTATATCCTGCCCTTCTCAACCCTGAAGGGGACTCAGAGCAGTGCAGACAGAGACATGATTCGAGGCCATACATTACGTACAATACATATCCAGCAAATAAAAACATTTACATTAGAGCATCTGCTAAAAACATATCAACATTAAAATTATTAAAATCACATAATCCAATATTGTAGTCATTGTAACTTTCCATGTTCATATATTGCACTAATCAATTATCCAAACACTTTGTTCCACATCCAAGTTTTCAATTTTTTCCCTAAAGGTCAGGAGGGAGGGGGCTAATTTGATGTCACTTGGGAGGGAGTTCCACAAATGGGGGGAGGCACCACTGAGAAGGCCCTGTCTCTCGTCCCCACCAACCACACCTGTGAAGGAGGTGGGATCGACAGCAGGACCTCCCCAGACAATCTTAATCTCTGAGATGGTTCATAGAGGGAGATAAATTTGGACAGATAAGCTGGGCTGGAACTGTTTAGGGCTTGGCTGAGCAAATATGAAGCTTCATGTTTTCAATTATAAGATGTTACACAAGAGAACATGGTTCTCTAACAGTAATAGGATGAAGTTTGGGTGTTCTGGGCTGATCATTATATCAGAACATTGTCTATATCCTAATATATAGGAATATATATGCAAATAGGAATTTATTCATTAAAAATCTAATGCACAGTGGAAAACTTACAGCAGTATGGGAAATTCTCATCAGAAGTGGTAGGATCTACACATCTTTTCCATTTTATATATATACACACACACAAACCCATTATCACTTGTGTGTGTATCAATGATAATGTGAGGTTTTAGGGAAAGAATATTTTTAAATGCCAGAAGTACTTCTCTTTTGATACTACAAAAACTAGCAAAAGATCCATAGTTGCTTTCAACCCCTGTTACTAGAACAGTAAACAATAGGCCACAATTTAGAACTCCTCTACTCTTTTAAATGCCATTGATGTTAGTAGGGCAAAAGTATATATAATGCTGTGATGGTTTCTGTTTCAACTGTAATGCCACTATCATTGGTTTGTTAGCCCTTTAGTTTGTTGGAGATGGGCAATATATGTGAATGTGAGCCGTTTTTACAGATCACATAGGGACTTTTCTGGATTTATCTCTTCTTGTTGCTATACTATACATCTTTCTCTCTGTGTGTTATATTAAAATACATACTACTATACTAAAGGAGATATTCTGTTCTACAAAACAGCCACTTTCTACCACCTTTCTTTTCTCACTCTCCAGAAACCTCGCTATGAAATCCGCTGGAAGGTGATTGAGTCAGTCAGCTCTGATGGACATGAATACATCTATGTGGACCCCATGCAGCTTCCTTATGATTCCAGTTGGGAGGTTCCAAGGGATAAGCTTGTGCTGGGTGAGGAGAGAAAGAGACCAAGGGAGAAGCTTGTTCCACAAAAAGCCAGAACTAACTAAACATGTGAAGTTTCTTCTTACGTTGCTTTTTTTTCTTTTGGATGGCCACATATCTTACTTGTAGCCGCTTCCAATGCAATGCTAAAGGGGGAGAATTTGTATTTTAATACAAACTGGCCTATTTCTTACTTTCTGCTGCTGTATGGGAACTATAGTTTTTTTCACTCCTGAATTAATGGGGAAATATCACATACTGGGTGTCCACAAACCTTGTATAGGCGTGGAACCTATGGCACTCTATCCAGATATTATTGAATTCCACATCATCCACCATTATTTACTATGCTTCTTGAGACTGGCGAGAGTTTGAATCTAACAACATTTGAAGATCCAGAAGTTCCCGTCTCTTCTTTAGGCAAAGATTGACCGTGATTACAAATATTAATTGATTTACTATTGTTAAGTTGCTCCAAATCAGCTCCAACTCATTGTAATACCATTCTAGAGCTTACTTGGCAAGATCTATTGTCTCTATCTAAGTCTGTGCAAGGTCACCCACTGAGTTTCCTTGTCACTCAGAGTCCATGTTAACTATCAAACAATTGTATCACACTGGCTCTTAAAAGTTCATGTACTAAACAGTTTGTGTTCACACATCTAACGGTTAGTACTGAAATAGCAAGCCATCCATGAACCCCTGAGGTCAGAAGGAGCCGCTGTGGAATTTGCAATTAGCTCCCCACCTAGTGGTCACATGGAAGAACCCATGCAGCCTTATTTAAGAAGAAGACATCATTAGCACAGTCGCCTTATCAGCCAGGCGGAAACCAGCTCTTGGCCAGACATTGTAACTCCCAATTTTTGTCATTCCTCATTGGGAATAGTTCGTACTGTCCAGTTTCTCAAAGGAGGAGCTCAGCAATGTTCACACAGCTGTTTTCTGGGTTCCTCCCATAATTGTTAACAGCGGGTAAGATCTAGAAAACATGTTGATTTCTTATGCTGTTTTTGACATGAAAATGCATCTTTCTGCTCCAGGACGCACACTGGGCTCTGGGGCCTTTGGGCGTGTGGTGGAAGCCATTGCCCACAGCCTCAGTCATTCTCAGTCCACCATGAGGGTTGCTGTGAAAATGCTCAAGTGTGAGTTTTTAATCTTCTCAGTCTCTCATCCTGCATGAATGTGCACTGTTCACCACCACTGCCTGTCTTTCTCATTTGTGTTTGTGTTGTTTTTCCATCTGTTTTTGTCATTCATTCACCACTTTTCTGCCAGTCTATTCAGTCATCATTGCTTTGATCACATAGCATACCGTATAAAGGATGCTTGTTAAGGAAAATGCTTCACAAGGGAAAAATGCAAATGTCAGCCACAGTTAACCTTTGATATTTTGCTACATCCAGAGTGATGTGGAATCACTCATGGTTTATAGCTAATTTTATGTAAGTGAGCACATTGTTATGCAACATAATGGGAAACACTGCTGTTCGGGAACATGTACTGTGTGGCCAACAGGGGCCAAGTCAACTAAGCAATGGTTGAATAATCCTTTAAATATAGAATACAAATTGATTTTTCCCTTTGTCTGCATCTATACTTTCTGCTTCTTTCCACTGACAATTTTTCTGTGTCTTTCCAAATTTAAGATTTTTCTGATGACTTTTGGTGTATTTAGATCATATTTTACTCTATGTTTAACAAGTTATTTCACTATTTGATTTGTTCACCTTCCAGCTACTGCACGAAGCAGTGAGAAACAAGCACTCATGTCAGAACTGAAAATCATGAGCCACCTTGGGCCTCATCTGAACATTGTCAACCTACTTGGTGCCTGCACAAAAGGAGGTACACCATTTTTTTCTTGCTCCCTTCAGCTGGAGCATATCCTGATGGCTTTGGCTTCCCCTTCTCTTAGAGTAGTGGCTCTCAATCTTCCTAATGCTGAGACCCCGTAATACAGTTCTTCATGTTGTGGTGACCCCCAACTATAACATTATTTTTGTTGCTACTTCATATCTGTAATTTTGCTACTGTTATGAATCGTCATGTAAATATCTGATATGCTGGGTGTATTTTCATTCACTGGACCAAATTTGGCACCAATACCCCATATGCCCAAATTTGAATACTGGTGGAGTTGGGGAGGTGTGTGATTTTGTCATGTGGGAGTTGTAATTGCTGGTATTTATAGTTCACCTATAATCAAAGAGCATTCTGAACTCCACCAGTGATGGAATTGGACTAAACTTGACACACTGAACTCCCATGACCAACAAAAAATACTGGAAGAGTCTGGTAGGCATTGATCTTGAATTTGGGAGTTATAGTTCACCTACATCCAGAGAGCACTGTGGATTCAAACAATGATAGATCTGGATCAAACTTGGCGCAAATACTCAACATGGTCAAATGTGTGGGGGAAATAGACCTTGACAATTGGGAGTTGTAGTTGCTGGGATTTATATTTCACTTACAATCAAAGAGCATTCCGAGCCCCACCAATGAGAGAATTGGGCCAAACTTCCCACACAGAATCCCCAGGACCAACAGAAAATACTGAGTTTTCTGATGGTGTTTGGCAACCCCCCCCCCCCCCGGGGTTCCAACCACCAGGTTGAGAAACACTGTCATAGAACACATCAAATAATTCTACCTTTCATGACTGTTAGTAATTCTTATTTCAGTATCATTCATATGACTTGTCTCATGATATGTACTTCTCCTGTGTACTTCCCATTTTCCTTCTTTTTTATCTTACTCTTTGTTTCTAAATCTACTTTTAAAATCTATTTTTTAAAGAAAAGATAGCATTAAAGCTATCCTGCTTGTTTTACAATAAGAGGGAGGGATCTGAGTTTTTCTGTTCCTTCTGTTAAAGGAGCCCCTGGTGACACAATGGGTTGAACCCTTGTGCCAGCAGGACTTCTGACCGCAAGATCAATGGTTTGAATCCAGGGAGCAGGATGAGCTCCCATCTGTCAGCTCTAGCTTCTCATGCGGGGACATGAGAGAAGCCTCCCACAGGATGATAAAACATCTGGGCATCCGCTGGGCAATGTCCTTGCAGAGGGCCAATTTTTTCACACCAGAAGCAACCTGCAGTTTCTCAAGTTGCTCCTGACACAAAAAAGAGGGAGAATTAAAGCAACCCATATGGCACTGTTCTGCATGTAACGCCAAAGAAAAAGAGATGGCAACAAGGAAAACCTACCAACAGACTATTGCAACATCATGTCATTTGCAATCACTGTGGCTGAGTATGATTGTCTTCCAGAGGTAGAGTCTTAGCAGTGGACCAATAAATGACTATGAAGACATCTTCTGGATTCACATGGTTTTTCACAATTAGGAAGGACATAGATTTGAAATAAGTGAAGAAGATCATGTGTAGCCAAATAAGGTATCAACTGAGAAAGACCAACTTTCCTCAAAATTTTGGAATGGAATGGGAGAAGAGACATAAGATGACAATTAGCACAAAGGGCAGATCAGAGAAAGTTTATTTATGAAGACTT